CGGAATCGATTTCTGAAACATTTATTTTGCATAACGTGGAGTTAATTTTCGTCAAAGAACCGTCAATCAGCCGAGGTGTAAAATTTATGTACTCCTTTAGTTTAATGAATTTAAAAAGAAGGAAGTTATGCACACTTTACAGTTAATTCGATTTCGACGTATAGAATTTTTATTAATATCATTACCCACTCGAGCCAGTATATTAATTACCATATACTTTTCTCCAACTGCACATATTTTACCAATAATTTTCCTTCGAAACTATTTTCCAAGACTTTTTTCAAGACTATTTTTTAAGACTTTTTAAATCAAGGGCAACTTTATATAAATGTATCCTATTTAACATCTGGATCAATATCGAAAACAAGGACAATTTTGGAAAATGGCCAAATAGCCAAGTAAAGATTTAATCAATAACTCCACTATTTGGCAAAAATTCTTTCACTTATTTGTCCCTTCGCTTTCTCTGTAAATTTGTCTTAAATTTTCGGGAAAAAAATTCAATATTTAAATTTGAGAGAATTTGAGGGGAAAAAAAAAGAAAAGTTATTTTAATGCTATCTTCTCGATTACGCTCTATATACGCGTTTCGATTTGTATCATTACCGGTGCATTTTCCATAGTTAGAAAATCATGTGGTTTTGCATATAGATCGTATGTTAATGCTGTTAATATCTAGGCTACTTTCCATCAAATCAAGTTTGCGTGTCAAGGCAATGTTAATGAAAATCTACCACCGAAGAAGAAGCAGCCGCAGCAAATCTCACGAGATTACAAAAAGAGAGAAAAAAAGACAAGGAAGATACACAAGTCCTCGTGGGAAAACCTCTTTACTTCTAATTTCTACTTAATTCAGTTTGAATTCAAGAAAAGGGAATCAATCAATGTCCCTAATGAAAAAAAACGATTACACTCAATCTTATTGATCTTATTCGAAAATGTCCGGCTAATGCAAATTTTAAATAGCTGCACTTCTTACACTGACAGTAAAATTTTTCTTTTACAATTTTTGAATAAATTTTCGGAAATTAAATTTTTCTATTTTCGAGAATTAAATTTTTTTTTCGAAATTAAATTTCGAAAAGAAAATTTAATTCTCGAAAATCAATTCAAATAGAAATATTTTAAATCTATTTAATTTTGAAATCTATTTAATGGGAGGAAAAGAAAATGATTGGGAATTAAGAAAAATAATTCATAGCTATTGAGAAAACAAACTACTTGGTATTTAGAGATAAATTATTAATTGGATGATAATGATCAATCAAAGAGTAATTAACATTGAAATAAGAGAGTTATTATCTGCATTCGAATAAGAAAATTAAAGACCCTGAGAGATGAGCGTGAGCCAATTTATAACATGATTCGTATAAAGTTTAAAATGAAGATTTTTGAAAGTAATGTATAATTTTATAAGCAATTGTAACTACAAGAATCATGTGAAGAAGTCTTGGCGTAGATTAACTGTTAATTGACTGAAACAACTACGTCGATCTTTTACAATTTCGCTTAATTGCTGTAAACGGTCTAAATAATGTCAGACAAATACTTCGTAAACTCGTTAACGTGATTCCATAGAATTGCCTTTTTTAGAAATTAAGAAGAAGAAGAAGAAGAAGCTTGCAAGATTTTTTCCTTTGGCTGGAAAAAACATAAAATATTAAAAAGAGTCTAAAAAAATAAAATACTAAATAGAATCTAAAGAATAAAATACTAACAATAGAATCTAAAACAAAATACTAAAAAAAATACTCAAGAAAAAAATCTAAACGTTTTTAAATACTCAATCCTCGTGGAAAAAATGAGCTAAAAGGAAAAGTCGACTCTCTACAAGGAAATGGAAAACAAGACACGTTTATCTTTTTGGATGATATGGAAATTAAGGAAGGAATCTTCTATAGTCTTTGAGAAGTCTACGCCAGTGAATGCATCCGCCATTCGATCACCCTTTTCGTTATAGTTTATGTAGAAGCTTTGCATCTCTACACCACTATGAAGATTCATATCTACATGGAAGCCATCAAAAATAGAAGACGCGTGAGAGAAGAGTCTGAAGACGCAGACGAACACATACTTCCGGTCGTTAAAACTGGATTTGTCTTATCGGACTTGTTCGTGCATTCTATTCCACGTGAGAATCAACATTTGTGAAACAAATGAAAGTTTTCCTATTAAAATATTTTCTAAATACTAAAAAGTCATTTTCCTTTTTTTTCAAAGCACCTGATAGCAAAATCATCTAAAAAACAAAAGATTAATTCTTCTCTTTTAGAAAAATTCCATTTTCCAATTTGATGCAAATAATTCCTCGCTCTTTCTAACTAAATCCAATTTATTGCAAACAATCCCTCTTTTTCTAACTAAATCCAATTCTTATTGAAAAAATTCCTCTCTTTTTCTAACTAAATCCAATTTATTGAAAAAAATTCCTCTCTTTCTCTAACTAAGACCAATTTATCGAAAAATGACGAGTTGGTTTTTTTTAGAAGAAACTTGAAAAAAAACGTATTGAAAACAGGAAATGCATCGAACGACATTAAGTTCAAATTGTTACGTAGTAATCTTCTTTCCGTATAATGAGGATATTTTTGTTGTGAACAAATAAATTTTTAATCAGATATTTGCGAAAACAACTAGATATTTAGAATGTATACTTGTAATAACAATGACTATTCAAATATTTGATTGGAAACAAAATTCTCAAATTTTGAAACATTTAAATAATTATTGCAATTTATAATTAATTTTTTTCGCATACTTAATTCAAATTGTACTTGTTATAGCAGAAATAAAATTTTAAAACTTAAGAAAAAATAAATTTTAAATTTTGTAAAAGTATTTTACAATTTGGGGAGAAAATGCAAAATTTTGATATAAAAAATATTAAAATTTAAAAGGAATTACAAGAACTTTAGATTCAATTTTAGAATAATTTTAGAATCAAAATTTTAAAAAATTTAATAATTAACTAATTTACTAATTCATTATAATTATTTATTGTTTTCAAAAATTTTAATAAAATTCTTCGCAGGAATTAAATTATTTTCAATAAAATTTCAATAAAATTTCTGAAAAGAATTTTTGGTTTAAAAATGTGATTTCTAGTTTTCGCAAAAATTCAAATATTAAGAAAATTTTTTATTAAATTCTTTATGACAATTAAAATATTTTCAATTCAATTTTAATTAAATTTTTCGAATAAATGGAATTATTTTCAAAAATTTTCATAAATTTATTCGCAGAAATTCAATTATTTTGAGAAATTTTGAATAAATTATTCATTATGAGAATTGAAACATTTTCAATTCAATTTTAATTAAATTCTTCGAAAAAATTCAATGTTCGAAAATTTTAATAAATTTATTCACAGGAATTCAATTATTTTCACAAATTACAAAATTTTTCACAGAAAATTAATTATTTTAAAGAATTTTAATAAAATTCTTCGCAGAAACGAAACTTAATTATTTTGAAAAATTTGTTTATGAGAAATGGATTATTTTCATAATTAATCAAATTCTTCGCAGGGATTTAATTATTTTAAAGAATTTTAATAAAATTCTTCGCAAATATTTTATTACTTTTAAAAATTTCAATCAAATTCTGTATAAGAAAAAAATTTATTAAATACTTTGAAAAAATTTAATTATTTTCCTAAATAATAAATTTCTTTGCAAAAATTCAATTATTTTGAAAAATTTTAATTAAATTCTTTATGAGAATTAAAATATTTGCAGTACAATTTTAATTAAATTCCTCAAAAAATTCAATTTTCGAAAATTTTAATAACTTTATTCAGAGGAATTCAATTATTTTCACAAATTACAAAATTTTTTGCAAAAAATTAATTATTTTGAAGAATTTTAATAAAATTCTTCGCAGGGATTTAATTATTTTAAAGAATTTTAATAAAATGATGTATTCACAAAAACTTTATCATTTTGAAAAATTTCAAAAAATTCTTTATAAGAAAAAAATTTAATTAAATACTTTGAAAAAATTCAATTATTTTCCTAAACAATAAAATTCTTTGCAAAAATTCAATTAATTTAAAAAATTTTAATTAAATTCTTTATTAGAATAAAAATATTGTTTCCTCATACAGGAAGAATTGTATTTAATAGTATTAATATTTCTGTCAAGAATTAACTTTTTTTTTAAAGAGGTGAATTAGATTTTTCTCTAGAAATTTAATTATTTTTAAAAATGATAAATTATGTCATAAGAATTCAATTATTTTGAAAAATGATAAATTTTTTAATTAGAAATCAATTATTTCAGATTTAAAATTATAAAAGAAATATTTTTAACTAAAATCAATTTAGTTTAATTAATTTTTGGAATTTTTTAATCTTCAAAGCATTAAATTAAAATTCCATTAATTTTAAAATTCAAAACATTATTAAAAGGAAAATTTCTCAAAAAAATTAGAAAACAAACAGCAAACGAAAAATCTTTTTTTAAATTTTAGTATCTTTTATATAAAAATTTTGCTTTTTGGCATTTTGTCCCCAAATTGCAAAATACTTTTACAAAGTTTAATATTAATTTTCTTTTCGTGTATATTTCCATTTCTTTATTTTCAAATGTAAACAAAAAATTCGTTTTTTTTTGTAGAAAAATAATGAACAATTTTTCCCAAGAGCGGAGAAGAAAGTTCCCTAAATTATCATTTTCAAATCTGTCCCTTTCCTCATCCAAACATCGTCTCCTTCGTTATTTTTAGAGAAAGCTTTCTCGCTGCAGTTTGAATTCGGCAAAACGAAAAATGAAAACAATCGGCAGCATGAAAACTGCACGTATAGCCAAAGCAATGTCTAGTGAACTCAGTGCCAAGATAGTGGAGACCTATATCTTTTTTTTTTTTGCAATCTATTTCAATCTAGGCGAAAATATTTTTCTGCTTATATAAGGGGAATATAAAAGTTCGTGTGTATGTATGTTGTTAACTCGTTAAAATTAAAAAAAAAAGTACAAAAAAGAAAAAAAATACAACAAACCATTAGTGCGTAGATCCTCGTGGGTTGAATTATAACTGTTGTGATGTTGAATTTGGAATCCGTATGCCGGAAGCCAGGGGTTTGGTCCGTTCACCAAATTCATATCCGGTCCCATATCTAATGATTCTTCTTCTTCATCAATATCAAAATTCTCGTCAACATCGTCCTGACGAAATCTGATCATTGACGACGACGTCAAGTCGTTCATCTCCGTCGGGAGCACCACCACCACCTCGTGATCCTGACTTTTTTCGTTGTTGTTGTTGTTCCTCGGTCATTAACCGCTCCGTCGAACTGTGAACCCCCTTTCCGCCTTTCCTCGAGGGGCTTCATGAGCTCTTTCCTGAGGTATCCGAGGCACCCAGCCCTCTTCATCGACAGATCGACAAACCAGAACCAGACAATTTTAAATTCAAATAAAATACCTTTCACCGCGGCGAAACAATTCTAGCACATGGAATTTAAGAACAAGTGAATTTGCATACGTTCCTTTCTTTTAAACCGATCCTGAATATACAATTAGATCCCTTTCTTTTCGTTAAACAAAAAAAAAAAAGAAAAATAAATACACGTATCTTACATTTTTTAGGACCACGAAAATTTATCCGCGCATATTTTTTAAACAATTGTCAGCGAAAAGTTTTTTTTCACTGTTTTACTTGTGCATAAAATTGTTTCCTCACTGTGATAAAATTTAATAATCATAAATTAGTGATAACAAAATAACTTTCGTGAATCGTGAAGTTTACAACGTTCATTAATCAACCATTTAGAGGAAAAAATATTTTTCCAAGTAATTTTTATACAAAGTTTTTTTTAACTATTTTTAAAAGAAACACTTTTAAACAAAAAAATATTTTCTTTGTGAAAAATATAAATTTTAATCGTTTATCATAAACGTTGTGAACTTCACTCACGTAAATAATAATACCAATAAAATAACAACAACAATAATATTAATAATAAAAATAAAACTGATTATAAATATCAAAAAATGATCCAAATAAGAATAAAAGTGAATTAAAAAAAGCTTCGATTTGAGAAAGAAAAAAGAATCTTCAGACCCGGAAAATTTTGATTGTCTTGAGAAAAATTATGACCCACAATAAATTTTGAACGTTCAAATGAACGAAATATTTTTTGCAGTAATACAAATTTTTAAACAAAATTTTTATAAAATTCTTTGCAAAAATTCAATTATTTTTCCAGATAATAAAGTTCTTCACTAAAATTCAATTATTTTCAAAAAATTTAATAAATTCATTGTAAAAATTCAATTATTTAAAAAAAAAAATTTCACGAAAGAATTCAATTTTTTTCTTAATTCGTTATAAAATCTTTGCAAACATTCAATTATTTTCAAAAAAATTTTTACGAAAGAATTCAATTTTTTTTTCTTAATTCGTTATAAAATATTTCGAAAAAATTCAATTATTTGAATGTTTAATTTTAATTATTAACAAACACGATTATTTTAAAAACTTGAAAGAAATTGTTTATAAAATTCAATTATTTTCCTAAATAATAAAATTCTTCGAAGGAATTCTATTAGTATCAAATTTTTTGATAAAATTCTCTGCAACAATTAGATGATTTTTCAATACATTAATTTTAAAATTGAAATTTTTAAAAAAGTAAAATTATTAAAAAAGTTAAGAAACAAAAAAGCAAACTGCGAACAGATTACCGGAATACAACGATTATTAATATAGAAGATTTTTTTTTATTTTGACACAAAATTATTGTAGTAATAAAATTTTAAATAAATAAATTTCGTTCATTTGAATATGTTCAGAACTTTAGAATCATGAAAAATTGCATAATTAGCATATAAGGAAAATTATTCCAGCCAGCAAAATTGTAGAGCAATTTTTTTTTTTTGAACATTTGCCATTGTTGTTAATGTAATAAAAATAATAAACTAGAACAGCGAAAAATGCTGTTTCGATAACAAGACCCGTTACCCTCGTGTGGCTTGATAAGAATTTAATTGATAATCAAAAAGCGATTAATTAGTTTGAGAAGTTTAAATCAGATACGAGACAAAAATATCGCAAATTCCAGGTTTTTATCGAAGATAAACCATTAACTAACACTTTACCGTAATCAAAAGGTAATTATTGAATCTCACAATAGACTAACCGATAAGTGTATATAAATAATTAATGAAAAGGTCATCGATATTTGAGATTTGCTAAAATAAAAACATAACGTTATTAAGGAAAACTATTAAGTAATCTCAATTATCTAAACTATTTTTTTGATCTCAGATAGAATTTACAAACAAAATTTACAAACAATATAAATAATATTTAGAAATTTCCCTAGTTTTTAAACAAATTTTTTTTCTCTATTTTAATATTTTTCTAAATATCTAAAACTAAATCAAAAAATAAAAACTCTTTTTTACTTCGATTTTTTTCGAAAAACGTTTTCTTAGTTAAAAAATATTTAAAACGAATAATATTTATAAATTACCCTAGTTTTTGAACAAAATTTTTCTTTATATTTTAATATTTTTCTAAATAACTAAAACTAAATAAAAAAAGAAATTTTCTTCTTTTTCTTTCAAAAAACGTTTTCTTAGTTAAAAATGAATCTTTTTAATAAATAAAATAATTTTAATATCGAAATACAAATTAAAGGTTGAATAAAATTATCGTTACTTTAAACTTTAGAAACTTTAGAAACATATTTAGAGCAAACAATATCCGAATAAAATAGTTTATGTTCGTAAATAAAAAAATACTCAAAATGTATAAAGAAAAAAAATTAAAAACGCAATTATCTAATAGTATCCGAAATAAAATATAAATAGAATAAAAATAGATTGACGTAAGATGTAATTTAAATAATAATCAATGACTGTTGCTTGTGTTATAATTTATAATTAACATCATCTGTGGATTCATTTATCAAAAAAAAAATTTTTTTTCGTTGAAATATTAAATTCCCCCTATTCTGCGCTGTATACATATAGTTTGATAACTTATGAAATGGAGATTAAAAGGCAACATGTGCAAATATTGATAACTGCAGTGTGTGGTTTTCTTTATATGTTAAGATGTATATACACAATCCGAAGAAACTTCTTGTTTACTAATGATCGAATCGTCCTTGATTCGTGATCAAATGAAAATGCGTCGGATGTTCAAGTATCTTCAATTTTTATTATGCAGCACAGAGAAAATTCGTGACTGTAACAACCCGCTAAACCGGTTTTTGTCGTAGAATTTTAAATATTTCTTTTTTTTACCACCAACAATCGAAAATTACAGATTTGACACTTACGGATTTTTTTTTTAAATTTACAACTAAATTCTCGACTTTTATCATTAAAAATTTTTAATAATCGAATGAACTGTATTTTTAAAAAAAGTCTACCAACTATTGTAATGTAAATTTCCTTCGAAGAATTATAGACCATATTATAATTTACGAGTCAAAGAAGTAAAAAAATATTCTCGAAATTTTAACTGTAAATCTTCAAAAGTGTCAGTCATTTTATTTTTACATTCGAAAAATTTTTCAAATCGCAAAGTTAATCGAAAAATGAAAAAGAAAAGTTTTCTACTAAAAATGAAATTAAAAAAGTTTATTTTTATTTAATTGGACTTAATTGATTATTTCTCAGCTAATAGAAGGGTTTTATTATACCACAAGGAATTTATATGCAAATTTTCGACCCAGTCTTCATTACACGGAATAATAACACTTATTAGAATTTTAATGATCCTACAATAACCCTGATAAGTTTTTTTAATAGCTACTTTAATAAATCTTCACACACTTTAATGAAAGTTTGTATGACAATTCAAGGGGCGTGATTTCGTTCTGAAAAAAAGAACCCATTAATTGGAATAAATAAATATAATCATGTGAAACCGTTTTAATAGAAAATTTTAAAAAACCGTGTTTAGAAAAATAGTTTTAATAAGTATATTTAAAAAATATTTTAGTATTTAAAAAATATTTTAATAGTATTTAAAAAAATAATTTTAAAGTCTAGGAATCAAAGAAAATTAACTGTTTTTTAATTCTCAGTTTTCTCGAATTAATTATATGTTTCAATATGAAGTTTAAAATGAATGATTTTCTGGTATAAAAGCTAATAAAGTAATTATCGTGATCTGTTAAAAAAAATTCGTAAATGTCAATTCACTTGAGAAGAATCTTACGTCATATGCGGATAACGGTACCAACTTTACATTCAACACGTTTTATCCAATTCTCTCTCTCTCTCGTATAAAATAAAACTTGAAAACCACACATTGCATTCACAAATAAGGACCAAAATATTTTCAAAACAAAGTAATCTACGCACTATAAAAAATAACTGTATTCAAAATTCTCCTTCTTGGACTTTTATAACTTTTGTCATGTTTTTTTTAAATATTTTTTTTATGATTTTTAACGAGTCTTTTTCTTTATCAAAAATGTATTTGACCTACTTTTTAAGGACCAAACTCCTCGTCCTTACGGTTCTTAGCAAAAAGAAAAGAAAAATCAAGAAATAAAACGTTGCTATAATAACCACCTGTAAACGATTCACCTGAATTGACATCTGTCAAATGGTTAAACCTTCACAGGTGCCAAAGTGGAGAGAGAGCAGAGTTGCCACAAAAATTTAATTTTGTATTCTTCCTGACTTTTCCCTAATTTCCAAACTTTTTCCTTTCTGATTTTGACTTTTTCCCTTATTCTAAAACATCAATAATTTCTTCTTTAAATAAATATTTAATTATTATTTTTCCGTGGGAATTAAAATTATTCAAAACGTTCAAATTCAAATATTTTGAAATTAACTTATAAAAATTTTTTTTATTATAAAACATGAAGATATCGATCAGTCCGAGTCTTCGACTCGGAATGATCGATTCTTCATGTTTTATAAGAATTTAAATTGACATAATCCTAAAAAAAAATTTTCGCAAGAATTCAATTATTTTTACAAGTAGTAACATTTCTCAAAAGAATTCAATTATTAAAAAAAATGGAATTGAATTAGTTGCAAGAATTCAATTATTTTCCTAAAAAATAAATCGATTCTTCGGAAATTAATTTTTAAATCAATTTTTATTAGAAAATTCTATGAAAATTCAATTATTTAAATTCATAGTAAATAATTTATTCAATAATTGAATGTTTGTTAAAATTGAATTTTCATAAAGAATTTTATCAACAAATTTTTAAATAATTGAATTCTTTTGACGAATTTTAATAAAATTTTTAGGAATAATTTCATTTCTCAGGAAATTTGATGAAAATTGTATTAATTGAAATTCTGCCAAGAATTTTATTAAAATTTTTGAACATAATTGGATTTCTAAGAAGAAATTTTGTAAAAAATTTGAAATCCTGGGAAATTTTCAATATTTATAAAAATAATTCAATGTTTGCGTAGAATTCTATTAACATTTTCTTTAAATATAATTGAATTTCAACGAAGAATTTTGATGTTTATAATAAAGATAATTGAAATTATGACGAGAATTTTTTTAAAATTTGTGAAAATAATTGAATTTCTGAAAAGAATTTTATTACTTTTCAAAAAAATTGAATTCCTTCCGAGTAATTTTGATATCTATGAAAATAATTTAATTTTGCAAAGAAAGTTATTAAAATTCTTGAAAACAATTGAATTTCTGGAAAAGAATTTTGATATTTTTATCAAGATAATTGATTTCTTTCTAAGAATTGCTTTAAAATTTTGGAAATAATATTAAATACATATTAAAAAATTCTACTAATTTCATAACAGAATTGTAATTAAAATTGTATTAAAAATAATTGAAATTCTGCCATGAATTTTATTATTTATGAAAATAATTGAATAATTAAGTATTTTTAACTAAAATTCTTCTATAAATCTGTTATTTTTAATAATTAATTAAAGATATATTAAAAAATTGAACAAATTTTAGAAGAATTTAAAGTATTTTAAATTTTGAAAAAACTATGTAATTTCATTAAAATTTTTAATTAAATTAATTCAAAAATGAAATTTTGTAAAATTTCAAATTAAAACCTTTCGGAGTTTATCTATTTATACGAAAATTGTAAACTCGCAATTCTTTTAAAATTCAATTAATTTAGATATATTTAAGTAAAATTATTCATTAAATAATTTATAATTCGTGATTTTATGATATTTTATGAATTTAAATTCCCTGAATTTCCTAAAGAATTCTACTTTCCCTGACCTGTGGCAACCCAGGAGAGAAAACAGAAAAATCATCATCAATAATTATTATTAATAATTAATAATAATAAGATAAATTAATAGTGCGAATAATATCGACAGAAAGAAAAGAAGAAAATCCAAAAAAAGGGGAACATTTAGAAACGAAGCATTATTTAAAAATAATATTGAAATTGAAGTATTGAAAAAAGTATAATTGAAATAAAAATACTCAATTTTTCCAGAAAATTGCAAAATTTTACTGGATTCTCAAATATTGAATCAATGTCAAAAACTTGAGAAGAAAAAGACGAGATCAATATTTACCTGAGATTATATATACAGCTATTTATAGAGAAATGTGTGACAAATTCCAGACTCATTAGCTCAAACAATATAAATCATTCTTTTGTTTTCCCAACTTATTGTCAATCGTTATTATTCTATGATCAAAAATAAATATTTTATTTATCAATTTTCACTCATGTAATCTTTGCATTGCTAGTTTATATTTATATTGTTAATTGTAAATTGTTAATTTCTACCTTATAAATTTTATACAGAACCTTAATTGATATTTCTTCTACCTAGTTTATTATTTATAACTAAAAAGACTTTTCATATTCTTTTAATATGAATTAATTTATTCCAGAAATTCTAAATTTGTAATAAAGAAAAGAAGTGATTGCAAATGGAAATTTCTACATGAATTGCATTGCGAAAGAAGTTTATAGAAGGAGATTTAAATATAAATTTGTAGCATTTTAGGAAAAAAGAATTTCCCACAATTCTAAATTCTAAATGGTAGAAAAATGACTTTATGTATGGAATTCATGGTAGCAGTGGAAAGTAAAGGTTACTGTATTCATAAACCTTTATAGGTAAATAACAGGTGTGTTGTTCGGAAAATAAATCTCGTATCTGTTTATTTGTAGACTTTAGAAGAATATACCTGTGAACCTTGCAAATAAGGTCAAGGAACCCAAAAGTGGTTTTTAAAGAAACGATTTTTCTTATTCTAATTGCAGTAAAAAATTGACAAACGGTCCAAAATTACCTAAAAATGGGATAAATATCAAATGAGTTAAGACCAAGAAAATTTGCAATTTTCGCCTCAAATTTGATACAAACTGGTAACCAGTACAATTTTTCTCAAAAAAAAACAATATCTTTTTCCCCAACATAAAAATGGAGCAAACAATCTATTTTTTTCCCAACATAAAATGGAGCGAAATAAAACGAGAAAAACCGAAAAATTCCTTATAAATCTAAAGAAAATGAATTCTTACAGAGATTGCTGGCTGGAATAAATGACCGATCTTCGGGGCCTGAATAGAAAATATTCCCCGATTGCGACGGCGCGGTGGCGGAGGAGGTTACCTGTCAGCGCACATTCCAGAATCCCACAGTTTATTCACTCGATCCACTGCATTCGAAATTCCTTTCCAACGTAAGCGCCGCCGCTTTGGCAAATTTTATTTGCATCACGTATAAAAATTTTCACAATTAAACATTCAACTAAAAAAGAATCCGAAAGAAAAATAATTCTTGTGCACTTCCACTTGTTTTCACACAGAATGGCAAACAACTATAGGGCCCACCAACAATAACACTTTGCTTGGAGAACATACACATAATCGCCGTGTTCACCAATTTTTCAATTCCAATGCAGAAGAAAAAACCATCACGAAAAAAAAAGAATGGACAATTTGAGGATTATATTTTTCAAAGATTATTATAATCCTTTTTTAAAGGCGGAAGATAAAATAAACTTGGGGGGTGATGAATGGAGAACGGCACGAGAGAACAATGAACATAACACACGCGAGAGGCACCAAGACTATAGCGCGGGTAAAATACTATAATGAACTCACAGGCTTTCGCCTGCGGTGTGGAGAGTGCAGAATATGCCGGCCAATCCCCACTACGTATGAATGCCACATGGTATACCTGATGGCCAATCGAAGACGAGAAACGATCAGGAGCGTAGTTGAACTATCAGAAACCACAAGTTCGATTTTTATTGAAAATGTAATTCTTTTATGATTTTAGTTTTTTTGGTTTCTTTAAAGCAGATGATTTAATTCCCAGGCGAATTAGACTGAAATCAAAGGGTTTGCTTTCCTTATCTAGAAGAATATCAAGAGAAGTTTATCCGAAAATTGAGAGAAACTGGAGAACCTTTTTGTCACCATCACAAATGACGCGGGATTTAAATTTCAAATCTTTTAGAAATAGACCAATCAAAGAAGACGAATTTGCGCAGGTAGATTTTTAAATTCAAATTTCACGTGTTTTTTCCTTCAGAAAAGAAAAATTTGTATTAATAAAAACTTTCTTTTTACAAAATTGATAATTTTTCCATCCTTAAAGTAATTAATCAGTAAGAAAATTGATATCAATAAAGTTCATTACTTAAAATTTATTATTTAATGAACGATTTTTTACACTTGATGAACAATTAAAAAAAAAATAAAGTGATCGTTCATCCCAATGCTATGAGTGATAAAATCGAAAATTTTAATTTAATAAAATATTAGAAACTTTTCTAATTTAAAATTTAAAAAACAATTTTTCAGAAATACAGGCTTTGTACTCCATTTATTAATTTTAAAAAAGTAGTTTTAAGACTGATAAAGTAATAAAAAAGTAGCTATCAAAAAATAAAAGTTGACTCTAGTTTTTAAAAATTTTTAAATTAAATTAAAATTCCATTAAATTACATTCGAAAATAAAATAATATTTTTTAAATAAATATTTCAACACCTATTTATTTTCACAGGAATTAAAATATTTCAAATGACTTGAATGTAAAGCTTTTTTGAAATTCAAAATTACAACTGCAAGTCTTCTAAAATTCAATTATTTTTTCAAATTTTCGAATTTATTCACAACTTTAATCATTTTATTTTTCAATAAAAATTTTAATATTATTAAAGATTTAGAACAATTAAAATTTTTAAAGATTTCAATTCAAAAAATCTTTTGAAATTTAATTAATAAAAATTTACACTATAATGCTTCTGATATTCAATTATTATCTGAAATTTTAACTAAAATTCAATTTTAAATCAATTGAATTTCAATTTTCAATTAAAAAATCTTACAAGAATACAAATTATTTAAATATAAAAAATTAGTAATTTATTGAATAATTGAATATTTCTTAAAATTGAATTCTTATAAAGAACTTTATCAAAATTTTTTTAAATAATTGAATTCTTACGAAAAATTTCGGCGCGAAAATAATTATTACATTCTAATAAACAAATTATATAAACATTTTTTAAATAGTTGAAATCATTCGAACAATTTTAATAAAATTCTTAAGAATAATTCCATTTTTCGAAAAAAATTATTTTAAATTGTATTAAAAATAATTGAAATCATGTTATGAGTTTTATTATTTATAAAAATAATTGAATTCTTGCAACGAATGTTATTAAAATAATTGAATTCCTATAGGAAGAATTTTATTATTCATAAAAATAATTGAATTCCTGAGAAGAATTTTTTTATTTATAAAAATAATTGAATTTTTGTGTAGAAGCCTGAAGCCTTTTTTGAGTACGAAGCCTGAAAGTAATAAGATTTTTTGTAAACATTTATCCAGAGAAATTATTAAAAATAATTCAGAAATAGAATTTAGAGTTGCAAATAAATATCTCTTATTGATGCAATTTATTAGTGTGAAACGATTCTTTTCATTGAAAAATTAGATATTCTGATATATACTCGAGAGTAGAATTCGCATGCAATTGGCAAAACACGATAAAAAGTATTGTAGTTTAAAGACGATCATAATTCATTAACAGGTCTCGAATTTATAAACCAGTTTTATTTATTGACTTGGACAATTTAAGGCTTATCGCTTGAGAATAATTTAAGCAAACAGGTTTTCTGCCACGGTCCCTTAAAGAAAACACCCACGTTGACGGAAATTCATACATGGCAAAAGAGGCTTCAATTATCGATATCACTTTGTTCCAAAGAATACGCAAATAACAAAAAAAGAATCTCCCCTTCTTTATAATTACTTCCATTTCTCTTGTTTCAAGTATTTTAAAACAAAAAAATGGCTAACTTCGAAAATTATCCAATTATAGAAAATTACCTATAGTACATACACTTCCGTACAGAAAGAACAGAAAAAAATGACAAAAAATAATTTTTTAGAAAATGAGTCTCAAAAAGTTGAGAACTTTTTTTTGTCTTTTATTTTGATAAATGAGAATCCGTGAGTATAACGGGGGTTCGAGAAATGAAAGAAGCTTTTTTGAGGAAGGTCACTGACACCGATCTACACGCTTTCTTTGACGAAGAGGGGTCAAGTTCTGCACGCATGATGTCGGCTTTACGTTTAAAGGTATCGTTGAGCATTCCTTGCGGGATATCGTATTACGAAACATATACGCGATGAACGTCAAGCGCACATTGCCGCACAGGGTAAATATTTACCAAAAATATTTAATTCTAATAAACACTATTTATCTCAATTTCCCAAGTTTATCCAAAGTATGAAATGAAAATAACGAAATTCGCGAAAATTGGAAATAAAATACGTGACCTCGGTAAAGAACCACTAGATTTGTCTTCATAAACTGTTTCTGTAAAGAATTACAGAAAATTTAATAATATAAAAGTTTATTATTTTTGGATGTCTCGATTTTGATTTGTCCTGAATTTTTCTCGAAATTGTCAACAATTTTTTATGATTAGAAAATAAACGATTAAAATAACTCACCATAATCGTCTGTGGTAACTGCTGGCATTGTCAAATCATTATTATTTTTCTCATTCTCCTCTTCTTCATTATCTTCAATATTATCTGAAGTATTTTTAGTATCGTCGGAATCATAATCCTTGTCATTGTCATCAAAGTCGTCGTCATCAACGGTTCTTTTTTTCTTCTCGAATTCCTCGTTATCATTCTTGTTCATTATTTCATAATCGTCCGCATCGTCGTACAAATTTCCTAAAAGTAGAGAAAATAAAAGAAATAAATTGAAATGTTTTTAAATGATTTCATTAAATTTTTTACTATTGTCTTGACAACCAAATAATTCCTCCTAACTAAAAAAGAATTAAAAACTAAAAATGTGAATTTAAAAAAGTAAATAAAAAGTAAAATCTAAAAACAAATACTTTGAAATATAAAAATACCATTAATTTTTTCTCGATTAAATTCCTCATATTCGTCGATATCATAACTTTCACTTTCCTTAATTTGATTTTCAGGAAGAAAGCCTCTGCGCCTCGAGACAATAGGACATGAAATAGAACGAGTACAAGGCATAGTAAATCGTTTTACCTCCATGATTCCATTTTCGATAAACACCTTGCATTCACACGATTCTCTTGTATTGGCGCAACTAAAGAAAATTGAAAATTATATTTCTTATTATTCTTGGAAAAAAAATATTTAAGAAAAAATTTATTCAAACTTACCAAAATGGTCCAGGTCCAATGCAATCAATTCCATTTTTCTCACTGAAAATTAAAATCATGAATTTAAAAACAAATTATACAGAAAAAGCGAAATAAAAATAATTATTGATTTTCATAATTCGTTTTCTTACCAAAATGCCCTTGAAACAAGAGATCCTTTACCACAAGACACGTTACACTCCGGCTCTGACCATTCGCTCCAGGAGGACATGACTTTTGGTTTCACTGATGACCAAAGCCCAAGTTCTTCACAAAACTGCGAAAAAAAAATTAATAAATAAAAAGTTTCTTATAAAACGATTATAATAAAATTTTTAAATTTTAATTTCTTTTTTTAATTTTTAACTAAAATTTTTCTAATTATTGAACGCACTGGCTGTTTTTGACGACAATCGGGGTCACATTGAGGGGAATGAATTCCCATTATTGTTTTTACAGTGCATTTAGCAACTCCACAAACTTCTCTTGGAAAACAAATCGACTTGGGCAAAGGTTCCGAAAAACATGTTGGAAAACCTTTTGAATAATATTTAGTTCATACAGAGTTTACAATAAAAATTGAGAATCCAGTTAATTATTGACTACTCAAGTTAATTGCAGTGACAATATAATTTGAGTCCAGGCAATTATTTTTTTTAAATTTAATGTTAAAATGACAATAATTTTGTTGAATTTTGTCTATAGACAAAATGTACATAATTAAGTATTAGTAATGATAATATTAATAATTAATTAATTACTATTGATAATAATAATAGTAATTAATTAATTACTAATAATTTGCTATAATAATAATTAATCATAATAAATAGTTGAATAAAATTGTTGTAATTAAAAAAATTTAACCTTAAAAGTAATAAAACTTTGTTAATAAACAAAAGTAAAAAATTGCAAAAAAAATTTGCCGTAAAAACGAATATGCAGAATAATATTATACTTTTTGTTACCTTCCGTCTGATGCAGCTTTCGACCAGCAAGGGAGAGAAAACACTTACAATTTGGTAGATATTTAAGAAGATTAATGTCACAAAGTCTCCTGTGAACTCGAGCACTTGTGTTAGAGGTTGGAGTGGCTTCGTTGAAAACGCAGTCTTTTTGTCGAATTCTCAGTAATTCAGATGAACATAATTTCCATGAACGCAACGTTCCGCAGTCACAAATCCCGAGGAAAAGTTCATCAATTCCGGAATTGCCCGGCGGTCTAGACAAATTTTCCATCTCGACGAATAACTATTGTTTAAGAAATGATCATTAAACATATTTTCTAGGTTATATTATATTATTATAAGAATAATTTTACCAATTTTACTAAATTAAAGATGAAAATTAACTTACGGCACAAAAGCCCTCGCCAATTTCAACAAAGACGCAGTGCTGCAAATGAAATTTACCGATCCAGTGAGATATATTATACCTTGGTGGAAAGAAACTATTATCTTTAGATCGAAATTTACTACTTTTCTTTATATGAAACACTTTTGTGACTGGAATAATATGTATAATAATTAGAAAAATTAATAATTTAGTAGCGTGCATGCTTGCACGAACTTGTCGCGACCGTTACGAATTTGTACGAAATGAAGTTGGTTACGAAGTGAATTTCGATTATCATCGTAATGCAAATATCGATCATTTGAATGCTGAAAACAAAAAATCAAAAGTAATCATTACCGAATATTTAATAAACTTCTGTATTAATAAATTAAATTAAATATATTTTTCTTAAAATGTGTACATGTGTATTATAGAGTTGGCGCGTAAAAATTAAAACTAAGTGTCGGTAAGTAAGTTTTGGATTCTAAATAGTTCCCGCGCGTCCCGCATGGCAACAGTTACTTTACCGACCGGTCTGTTTTGTGATGGCGCTGCTGTGCAAATATCAGTAATAGGTGGAGTACAGTGTCAGTTCTATGTTGATCACGACGCCGAGTAAAGATTCTTCTCTCCGCCATATCATTAAATTTTGTTTTCGGTGTTTCTCAGACGCTTATTCTCGACGCTTACCGACGCTCGGCGTCGTCCGTTCAGTTACATGCGATTGACGCGCGATCGGGTAAATTAACGTGGTGCAAAAGCGAAACCATCTCCGTTAATCACGGACCGTTTGGAAACTACAAGTACGAAGCAAGTGTACGTTAAACAATAAAACGTGTACGAAGATAAGTGAACAAAAAATGGAGAATAGGCCGGCGACGCTTCGTTCCAGGCGTGTCTGTCGATTTTGTCTGACGGAATCCGAGCCGTTGAGCTACATTTATGATCGTGAAATGAGCAGATCATTCCTAGTGCCGCTTACTCTCCAGATTATGTCGTGTGTCGGCATTGAGGTAACAATATTTATTTTTTGTGATATGCAATTGTTTTTATTGTTTCGCAGTTGTTTAATTTTTTGACCGATAGAGGAGTTTTTTTATAAAATTCATTAATTGTGTGAATGATTAAAATTATCTAGTACACAAGTCAATAGCAAGACTGATAATGTAGTCTATGGGATTACCGGCAGAGTCGGACATTGAACGCACCTAGTAACCGCTATGTGCGACGATTATTATTTTCTGGAGAACAAAAAAAAGGGGGGTGGGAGAGGTACTAAATTTATCTTTTTTGTTGTAGTTAACAATCTAAAGAAGGGAAATTGTCAAATTATTTATTCATTTTTTCAATTAATTTCCCTACAAGATTTTCTATTATACGAAAGGTTTTCTTTTGTTGTTTTTTTGCTGTTTAATCAAGAATGAATTTTAATTATTTTTTATTGATTTTGTTGATAATGCAGATTGACAATTTACATTTAAATTGTAACGTTTGAGTAAAAACACTGCTTACCATTTGAGTTTATAAACAACGTAAACAACAAAAGTATTTTACTTATTGTTTTAAATAATATTTACAGTATTTTTTAAAGAGACATTTTAGTATTTACTTATTAGGACAAACATTTTTTGTTGAAGTGAGCGCTATTTCTCCTTTTTCCAATTTATCCAAAAAGCAATCTTTTATCTTTTTTAAACATTTAATTCTAAAAAATAACTTAGAATTTCTTACAAAACATTTTCGATGTTGTCTATTTACACTTCTTTAAGTATTTAAATATAATTACAAGACAAAAATTAAATGACGGCAGGTTCATATTGTTGAAGGTTTAATTATTAATTTTTAATACTATGGCTGTCAATTTTATATTATAATAAAAAAATATAAATTAATAAATGTAAATAAATGTATTTTATATTTATAAATTTATTATATTAATTATTATTTTTATTATTATTATTTATAAATTTATATTTTATTATAAAATTTTATAATGAAACGTCAATTTTATATTATAATAAAGAAATATAAATTAATAAACATAAATAAATGTATTTTATATTTATAAATTTGTATTTTATTATGTATTATTATAAAATGTTTAACATGCGAAAAAATTAATTATTTAATGGATATTTGAATATTTTATTCATATTCAAAGTGTTAATATTTATAATAATAAATATTTAATTATATTGTATAACAATTATAAAATATGTATTAAAAAATTATATAATTAATTTATTAATTATTATAATAGTTAATAATTGTAGAAAACAATTTTTGCTTAAATTTTTCTTAAAATTATTTATGATAATCAACGTTTAAACTTTCATATTTTATATTTTAACTAAAATTTAAGCAACAATATTTTTGCTGTTTTCTAGAATGATATAATATGAGTAGAATAAATTTATTTTTTTAATTTACTATTTTAATAATTTTAATTTAATTTAAATATTTTTAAATGAAGTAAATATTTTTTTCTACGTTTTTTAATCCTTCATCCCTCGATTTGCCAATCCGACTAAAAGTGCTCTATGTAATTTTTTATGTAATGTATGTAATTTTTTTTATTGTAAAAATGCGTTTTGTGTAATTTTATAAGAATATAACTTGTGTATTTTTGCTTCTATTTTTTAAAATTATTTTGCAACTGTTATTCTTCTTATGTACAATTATAAGCGAAATAGTTTTAATTTTAATAAAAAAGAGTTAATTTATTAATTATTTTTTAGTTAATTTTTTTTTTCATTATATATTATAATTTATTGTATAAAATAAAAAGTTGAAATCATAATAAAGTTTTTGTTATGATTAAAGTTGAATATTTAAATGTTAAAGGTATATGCGGCTGATGGAATGCCACAGATGATATGCAACACTTGTCGCTGGAATTTAGACCGCTCATATAAATTTAAACAACAATGTAAAAAAGCCGATGAAGCTCTTCGAGCTTATCCTGTATCTGGAGTACTTCCTCGACCATTTCCGCCAATTTCTACCGAACCACCCGATACAAATAATAAAAGATCAGCTGAGCAGCGTGCGCACAATGAACAACAAAAAAAGGCACGACTTGATAATGGCGATCGTGAAAGAAGAGAACGACAAGCGGAAAAACAAAGTAAAGAAGAGAGAATTGATATATATGACGAGGATCAAGATCGCGGCAGCGAAGGTGAAAATGAAGCGGGCAATGAAAAAGAGGACAGAAAATTAGAACCAGGTGAAGTTCGTGTTCATTCCTGTACACTTTGCGAGAGAACTTTTCCACTGAGACAAGCTCTGCTTTTACACATTCAACGTGCTCATCGTGATCGCAATTATAAATGCACCGAGTGCGATCGTATGTTCTTCTCTAAATATGATCTTAATAAACATATTTTAACACACTCGGAAGATAAACCATACACCTGTCAAATTTGCAACAAACAATTCGCTCGAGCCAATTTACTTCAACGTCACGAGAAAGTACATCGTGACGAATTGCGTTACGGATGTCAGCACTGCGATCGAGAATTCTTCACCACCGATGAACTTGAGAAACACGAGGAAAGCGCACACAAGGCGAACAAACCTTTCCAATGCAACATCTGCAACAAGCGCTTCACCTACAAACAAGGTCTCGAACGTCATGAAATGCTCCACAGCGAGGACAAGACTTTCGTTTGTGAATATTGCAAGGAGGCTTTCCGCACCAGTACAAAACTTGCCCGTCATTTGTCAACACACGCCGGACATCGTCCATATCTCTGCAAATTGTGTCCACGAACATTCCTTCTCTCTCACCATCTCACGAGACACATGCGCTCCCACTCCGTCGAGAAACGTCACGTCTGCGAGGACTGCGGCAAAGCCTTCAAGCGCAAAGAGAGTCTCGAGGTTCATCAACTCACCCACACGAAGCGATCAGGTCTCGGATTAACCTGCGACGTCTGTCAGGATACGTGTCGCAATCGTGCCGACTACGTGACACACATCAAGCAACACATCGAAGCCGGCGAGAAAATGGGACCAGACGGACTTCAGCCGGACATCAAAGAGAAAATAGAAATCGATTCCGAAGACGAGGAGGACGAGGAGCAGTATTCCGACGGCGACGACGACTACGAACCGCCACCCTACATCGTGAAGAAAATTCCCAAAATCAAGACAGTCGAGAGTGAGGAAGAGGCCGACCGAATGGACAAGGAAATGCGGGACGAAAAGGTCGTCTACGTGCGTGGCAAAGACGGCACCATGGTCAAGAAAACAATCAAAACCCTCATGCCAATTCAGCGACGAGAAGCCACCGAAATCGTCAAGAGCCCCACCCAAAAGACACCCATGAAACAGGAAGACATTCCCAAAGGTCGAGTCGACGAGACCGAGGCCCAAGTGCAAAAAATCGTCGAATCCGTATTCAAGGAACACAAAATCCCCCTCAAACATCAAACCACTCCAGAACCATCAAAAAATGTCCAAACTCCCCAAAAGATCACCACAAGTCCCAAAGAAGAGAAACTCGAACAAAAACCAATGAATACAGTGAAAGTAATCAAGAGAATCGTCGTCAGAAAACCTGTCGGCAGTGGCGAAACAATCGCCAAGGATTGCGACCTACCAGGAATTTCCCAATCAGTCCAATCACCCGCCTCTGGTGTCAAGGTAACCAAACGTGTCATCGTCCGAAGAATCATCCGCCAAGGCGATACCACACGAGAAGTAATCATGAATCCCGACGGCACCATCATCGATCCTTCCGAACTCGCAAAATTACCCACCGGCAACGTCGTCAAACGTGTCGTCATGAAGAAACCCCTCGACAAATCCCAAAATCTCATCCAATCCATGATGCAATCTCCCGAAATAGTCCGACCACAACCAAAACTTACCGAATCCACCGATCCTTTGAAATTCGAACTGAAAACAACCCAAGGCCCCGGCGCCACAATCGTCAAAGTCGACGAAACCTCCACCAAGGATCAGGAGACGAAGGAGAAACTAGAACAACTGGAAAAAAGAGTCGAGCAGCAGAGATTGAAAATCGAGGAGCTACAAGCGAGAAAGCAGCAGGAGTACGAACCGGCCGATGAGATGCTTCCGGAACGACACGATGAATCCGAGGACGAGCAACAATTACCCCTGAAGAGGGTGTTCGTGAAACGAAAGCAGAGTATCTACGACGAGGAGCAGGAATACGACGAGACTAAAGTAGCTAAAGAGGAGTTACAATCGACCGAATCTTTCGAAGTCGAAACACCAAAGCAGAGCAATAAACCGTCGATCACCAGCTCCAAGGTCTACGGGAACAAGAAAATAATTCTCTTGAAACCTGAAGAGCAACCAGCTACAGATCCAGATCCCGAGGATGCTGAAATCAGTCAAATGAATCAGGAACTCTCGAATATTCTCGACTCGACGGACAGTATCGTAAAAATGCAGGCGACAACTCTGAGTCAATTGACAGAAATTTCCTCCATTAGTGTCTCGGAGGCGAATCAGAAAATCTACATGGAAAGTGTTGAGAAGGAGGAAGCTGTCGAGCAGATGGAACAAGAACCAGTCGAGGAAGTCGTTGGAGCAGTTAGCGAAGGTAATGAAACTAATGAAGTTAATGAAATTAATGAAACTAATGAAGTTAATGAAATTAATGAAGTTAATGAACTTAATGAAGTTAATGAACTTAATGAACTTAATGAAGTTAATGAACTTAATGAACTTAATGAAGTTGGCGAAGTTGGCGAAGTCGGCGAAATTCCTGAAGTTGGTCAAGTTACAGAAGAGCAGAGCGAAGGTGTGAATAACGAGAATATAATTTCCGAAGCGGTTCCAGAGGAGGAGAAAATGGAAATTGAACAACAAGAACAAGAAGAGGAGCAACAGGAGACGGTGCAGAATGACGAGAATATTGAGCAAGTTCAAGAGACAACGTTATCATTGAGCGGCCACGAGATTTCTGCCTCGGAGGATATGTTCGAGCAATCGGGCTCCGTTCTCGAGAGTCAGAAGAGTGATAATACACCGTTGGAAGATTCTGTGATTGAATTGTCGCAGACTAATGATACCATCACTTTAAATGATACGCATGATAGTCGAGATAGTCTTGAGGATAAACTCTCACAAATGGAGGGATGAAGGTAGATTTAATTCGTAGCAATATTTTTTTGCTTCACAAATTTTGTTAAGTGATATTTTTTACTTGTAAACCAACTTCTTTTCGAAGGAGGAATTTTTCGTTTACATAAATTCAGGGATGTGTGGAAATTCTATAAAAATTCAATTTTTATTTTCTTTTTCTTTTTTTCATTCAGTGGTAAATTTTGCATGTGTAATCTTTTTTATCGATGGATTGAAATTTAAAAATACAATTGATATTTTTAACTTTTAATCCTTTTGTTGAAAATTGGTAAAGTTTACAATGTTTACAATCAATTATTTAGAAAAAAAAATAATTTTCCACTTAAAATTTGGTAAATTTTTGCAAATTTTTTTCCAGATTAGGAACTGAAAATAGAAAAATTTGAGAACAAAAAATATCGTTTTCTGAAGAAAAATATTTTATATTCAAATCTGTGTCTAAAAGAGCTTTAAGAAATATTTTCTGGAGAAAAAACTTATAAGAAAATTTTGTGAACAAAAAAATTGTTTACTGAAGAAAAAATATTTCTTCATTCAAATTTTTTTCTAAAGAAACTAATTATAAATTTTTCTTGATTAACAATTGAAAAAAGAAAAATATTTTTACATTTAAATTTTGCTCTAAAGAAATTTTTGCAAATTTTTTCTACAATTAGAACTGAAAATAGAAAAATTTGTAAACAAAAAAAATATCGTTTTCTGAAGAGAAAAATATTTTTTCTTGAATAAAAAAAATAAAAGATAAAAGAACGATATTATTTGTTTACAAATTTTTCTTGTTAATCAAGAAAATATTTGTAAACTTTTCTTTAGAGAAAAATTTGAATGAAGAAATATTTTTTCTTCAGCTAACAATTTTTTTGTTCACAAAATTTTCTACTAGTTAATTAGGAAAAAATTTCTAAAAGTTCTTTTAGACAAAGATTTGAATATAGAAATATTTTTTCTTCGGAAAATGATATTTTTACATTCAAATTTTTGTTCAAAAATAAATTTAGAAATTTTTTCTTAATTAACAATTAAAAAAAAAAAAATTTTGTAAATTAAAAAATTGTTTTCTGAAGAAAAAATATTTCTTGATTCAAATTTTTGTCTAAAGAAACTAATAATTTTTTCTTAATCAACAATTGAAAAAAGAAAAACTTTGTAAACAAATATCGTTTTTATTTTACTTTCTTTATTCGAGAAAAAATATTTTTACATTGAAATTTTGGTTTAAAGAAAAATTTTCAAATTTTTTCTTGATTGAAAAGTAAAAGAAGAAAATTTTCTAAAATCGTTATTTGAAGAAAAAGTATTTTTACATTCAATTTTTTGTATAAAGAAACGTTTAGAAATTTTTTCTTGACTAGCAACTAAAAAAAAAGAGAATTTTGTAAGTAAAAAAATTTCTTTTTCTGTATAATTATTAAAATTTATTAATTTTGATTAAAAAGTAATTTTTTCAATTGTTGATTATGAACTTTGTGAACTTTACCAACGTTTTTATATACGAAAAATATTATGTAAAAATTAAAAAAAGAGAATTAAAAGAAAAAATAATTTTTAATCGCAACAGAATTTCTATACAATTTTTACACATCCGAAAATTATTAATGTGTCGTTTTCATGGCATTATTATTGTCATATTATTGTCTTTGTAGAGACGAAGTTGGCGCTGGATATTTGTTTAAAAAATAATTAATTGGGAAGTTTTTGGAAATTTTTTTTTGAAAATCTTATCAATAATATTGATAAGTATCTACTTTTGTTTCTTCTTTCAGTTGAAATAAAAGCAAATTATTTTTTATATTCTGATTTTTTTTCACGAAAAATGTTCGTTTTTACAAATAACAATATTGCAAAAAATATTACAAAAAAAGTAATGAAAATATTTTTTATTTTATGTGAAGAGAAAAATCGAAGAAAATTATATAAATTATTGTGAAGAAGCAGTAAAAAATGACGAGAAATATTAAGAAAAAAAAAATTGATACTGACATTGAATATATTGATGTACATATTTTTACTACAAACTTTCTTGTTTTTGTATTGATAAGTAATGTTTTACTGAACTATTAATTTAAAAGAAAATGTAATAAGGAAATCTTAATTAGATAAAGGAAAAAAAATAGTTATTAGAATTAACTATAAATCAGTGTAATATGGAAATCTGAAAATCCAGCGTCTTTAGTGGCATTTAAGAAAACAAAACTTAAAAGTTAATAATATAAGTTTAATTGCAAAAAAAACTATTACAATTCCTTATAAATGAAATGATTTAAACATAATCCACGTCTTCTTTAATAATTTTGAGACTTTTTTTTACGATGTAATTGTTATTAAAATATGAATTTAGTTATTCCACAACGAAATGTAATCCTTTTTATAATTTTTATCAATATAAATTACTTAACATTTTTGTTTCTTCTTTTTACTTTTTTCTTTTGTTGCGCGGAAATTAAGAAAAAAAATATCCATGAAACTAGAATTAAGTAATTGATCTGGCAAATGTGGTCTTGGTGTAAATATATATTTTGTTAATTATGAGAACAAAAAAAAATACATTTTCAATGGGAGAAATTCAATGTACATAATTAAAAAATATAAAATCTGTTCATTATCAAAAAACAGATATTTCATTAATTTCTCTTTTATATACATTTTCAAATATAATTTTAATAATAGGTTTTTTGATCATCAATTTAAGTAATAAAAAAAATAACTCTCGTAAATATCATCATCATGTTGATTCGAAGCTATTTATTCTCTCGTATAGGGAAAACCATGCAATGAAAATTAATCCAAAGTTATGTGTCAACCAGTAAAAATTTTATTTACTAATTAGTTGAAAACTATTTTACAAAAAGAAAAGGAAAATTCATTATATATTTGACAGTGTTTTAATGATTAAAAACTATTTTTGTTTCATTTTTTTTTTTGCTATTATTATTGGACAAATTTTAATGGTTTTCCTTAAAAAGAAAAAAAAATTAGTGATTAGTCTTAATTATAATTCAAACTAGTATAGAAAAGAAAGATATGCAAATGATATTCGAAAATGTTTGCTACTCTGTATTAAATACAAAGTGTGGTGTGTATATGTCAAAAGATAAAAGATTGCTTTTATTTACTTTCCCTAATTCCTTTATTGTTTTTTATTTTTGGGATTTAGAAATTAATTTCCATTTTTAAAAAAATTTTCTCTTTGTATTTATAATTTTTTTGTCAATTTTTTCGAGGTATTTAAAAAGGTTTTTAAAAATGTCTTTATTCGAAAAGGTTTTAAACTTTGTACAAAGTATTTTTTTATTATGCAAAAGATGGTTCTACAACCAAATACATTTTGATAATTATTTTGCAAAGTAGAAAAGTATACTTGCTTTTTTAAAATATTTTCCATTTTGTATATTTTAACATATTTTAAGTTTACAAATTAGGAATTGTTATTATTTATTAACTTTTTAATATTTTTAACAAATATTTAAATAACAAATTTCATCGATCGGAAGACAAAAATTCTCTATTAAATGCGAAACCGAATATTTTGGAGTAAAATAAATATTACAATAAGCGTCGTAAAAAATATTTTCTATTTTTTCTATAATGTAATTTTCGCATATTTGACTTATAATCTATGATGAGATGCTATTATTTTTTTATTAATACAATTAAATTAAAAAAAAAGTGAATATTAATTACGAACATTCATGCAGTTAGTGTGTTTTTTGGGTTAAATGACAATAATTAATATCGATAACTAAAATTAAAAATCACACATAATGAAGTCGGCTGGCAATTTTTTTTTTATGAAATATTTTCATTTTTTCAACAATAAACTAAAAATTAATGAAAATTAAAATTATCGACGTGAATAAATAATATAAGTAATAGAAGTTTTACCAGATGGCTCTACCTTTCGTTATTTCATTCAAAAGGATCATTGATCGTTTTTCTTGAAATTATTTCATTTGGAGTGTAAAGCTGTTTATGAACATTGAATATTAAAAATAGACATAAATATTGAAATATAATATATAGTAACAGTAAATATTATGATTATATAGTTATGTATATAATATAATTTAATATAATATAATATAATAAAATATAATATTGTATAATATAATAAAATATACTATTATATACCTATCTATATAATATAATAGTGATAAGTAAAATATATCTAATATATTTAATCTCTTGAAATTTCTTAGAGGAACTATATGCTTATTTTATTAATTAATTTATCAATTATTAATTAATTATTTAATCATTCAAAAAAAGAATTTTAGTAATTTTTATTTTTTGGAAAAGAATATAGAAAAGTGGATTTCTGGAAAGATCCCAAAAGGGGAAATTTTGTAAATTATTCCCCTAATTAATATATGGTAAGAATCGCATATTTTGAAGACAAAAAAGTATCTTTTTGAAAGCAAAAGATCCAATTAGGCAAAAGAGATTTTTTTTCCAAAAAAATAATTCTTAAATGAAAAGAAAACTTTGTCAACAAAAATTAAAAAAAAAGTGAAATCCGTTTTTCATAAATAATATTTAAAAGAATTTCTCCAACAGTTTGTTAATATAAATCTTAATTATCTTCTCGGTATGTGAAGAATTTGTTTAAAAAAAAGTCTAAAAAAAGTCTTAAACTTTTTTTAGACTTTTTTAGACTTTCTTTAGACTTTTTTTTTAGACTTAATTTATAACACTGAAAGAATTAATTAGGTGGAAAAATATAAAGTTCTTCGTGGTGATGCGAGTGATTCTGGAAAATATCTTCTCCAGTTTAAGACGAACGTATTATAAGCATGCAGCATCATGCTGGTTATGCCTGATTAAAAAGTGCGCAAATGGAGATGCAGCAGATTAACCGTTGTTAAATCAAGCAGGTTGAGTGCCCTTCTTGCCGGTGAGTCGTTGGAGCTGGAAAATAACGGTTATAACTCTCGATTCTTTTTTTTTTTATTTTTTTTGTTATTTTTCAAGAAAAAAAAATCACGCACTTCGATTCTCTTTGTATTTTTCTGATCTCATCCCTAAAGGCCACCACGTCCGCTGTCAATGTACTCGAACCGCTGTGGGGCAGATATTTCAATTTACTCAAATCAGTGAAATCTTTCTCTGAACCAATAATTTCATTACATCGATCAATGATAAAATTATTTAACGTTAAACAATAAAAATTGTTTAAACTTAATATATTAAATTAAATAAATTAAATCAAATTAAATAAATAATTTTAATTTTGAAAAATCAAGATCGTTAAAGTTAACATTTTAACGATCTTGTTAAATTTTGTACTCTATTTTTTTCTGTGTATCACTGATAGATGTGGTTGAGAGTTTCAATTTAGCGACATATTTAACTGATTTAAATTAATAGTTCCTTTTTTGCGGAAAAAAAATGTTGCTTGTCTCAATTAATTTGATTTACAATTTTAATAAAATCTATCTAAAACGGTATATAAACATTAACGTGAGAAGAAATTTGTTCTAAATGAAATTAACACTTTGTAAGACTATAATTAAGGTTGAAGTAGGTGAATATGCAGCAATGGAGAGATTAACTTCGTATATAATACCTCTCGTCAGATAAGATATTGAAAACAATATATTCAGAATTTAGAACTATTCTCACATTTATTTTTTACTCTAATTAATTCACTTTTCTCAGTATGTTAGATTAACCATAAAGATAGAATATCTTTAATGGATTCTATTTTTTTCTCTCAATACTGTAAATTTACAATTCTCTCAAATGTACTTTTTTTATGGAGTATTTCTTTTGTATGAAGTATTCAAAAATATTTTTATACTTTCACATAATTAGAAGTATACAAAAAAAAAAAACTTTTGTGAGAATTTTATTAAAAATTAACAGTTTGCTCTCTAAATTTGAATTTATAAAAATGTTTACTAATTTAAATTAGTGACTGACTTTTTGCTTTTTAATTAGTAAATTTATTTATTTTGCTAATAAATAGTAATTTCTACTAATTTATAAGTAAAATTTAGTAATTTAAATTCAAACGCAAAAAGTCAGTCAGAAGTTCAAATTTAGAGAGTGAAGAAAATATTCTTTATAACGAAATAGTACAATAATAAATAAATGGCAAAAATCTCCGTGTTAATAGCAAAACTGATAGAATTCCTTTTGTTTAAAATTGTAATTCAATAATTATTGGGATAGCAACATTTTTCGAGATTTACTGTCAGAGAGAATCGATAATTTTTAATTAATTTTAATTAAAATACTAATAAAAAAGTAGTTATACTTCAAACATAAGTTTTTTACGATAAAAAACAATTTTAGTAAAAAAGACATTGCAATCAAAAATTAGTTCTATTTTTGCAATATTTGAAATAAAAAGAGAAATCAAAATATTTTATAGAAAATAAAGAAGAAAAATTATGAAATGAATGAAAAATGTTGAATATGACAAATACTAGTGATATAAATAATAATGCAAGTGTTCTATTTTAATGACATCTTTTCAAAGAAGTATTTCAAAAATATTCAATAGTCGAAAATATTTTTTTAGTATTTTTATTCAAAAATTAAGGGTTTAGCAAATTTGAAAAAATTTATGATTTAGAACAGTTTCTTATTTAGTTTCAGTTTATAAAAATAGTTTCTTATTGTCAATGAAATTAATGAAATTAATGAAATGAATTAAATGAATTTATCATTTCGTTATGAAATTATTTACTAATTTAGAACAAAGTAGTTTTTTTTCTAGAAAAATTGTATTTGAATGTATAAAATGTCATTTATAATGGAACACGAGCATTTTTGTTATGAGTCGAAATTTTTTTCTTTTACATTCTCGAAGTAGTGTATACCTCCTTTTCTTCAGTGGCCACATTAGCATAATTCGGTAGTTCTTGCTCTTTCGCCGAACCAAGTGCATGAGTGTAAATTAAAGCACCTGCCACTCCACCCAAAATTGGTCCAATCCAATAAATCCAATGATCGTCGTAATCTCCCAAAGCCACAGAACTTCCCAATGACCTGGCGGGATTCATTCCTGATCCGGTTCTTTTCACCTAATTTGAAAACAAACTTGGCTATTGTTCTTTACGTAAACTAATATTAAATTATTATTATTATTAATAAATTATTTATTAAATTAGAACAAAAATTTAATTTTCTAAAATTTTAATTAATTTATTAAATAATAATTATTATTAATTATTATTAATTATTATTAATAAATTATCTATTAAATTAGAAGAAAAAATTAATTTTCTAAAATTCTAATTAATTTATTAAATAATAATTATTATTAATTAGATTAATTATTTTAACTCAATTAAATATTGATTAAGGTGAAAAATCTTACGGCAATGAGATGGCAGGCAGAAACAGTGAGGCCAATAATTAAGGGTGCAACTCCTTTACTTTCGGGTTTTCCTCCATCACATGCGCCACAAACCACCATGACGAGAATTAAACACAGGAAAAATTCAATTCCAAATCCTTGAATGGGTGTGAGTCTGTTAAGTCCCACTGCTCCTAATTTATTTTCCGAAAAATTACCCTCGTCGGAGAAGGCTCTCAAAATCGCCGAGCCGGCAATTGCTCCTGCACACTGCGATATCACGTAAAGAATCGCTCGTATCACCGGCACCTGGAGAAAAATTGTTCTAGTTAGAAGATTTTTTTTAAATTACATTGTATTTTTAAATCGTATTTCTAGATTTTTATTTTTTTACTCTATACCTTCTCTTAATTCTTGTATTTTTAATCCTTTTCTAGTTTTTTTGCCTTTGTTTACTTTTTGCTTTACAATGTTAATTTTTTGACATTTTTCAATTTTATTTTTTTGGCATTTTTTAATTTTAATTTTTTGACAATTTTTCAATTTTAATGTTACCTTTCCAATTGCCAACATTCCAAACGTGACTGCAGGATTAATGTGACCTCCGGACACGTGACCAATAGCCTGAACAATTCCGGCGACTGCAATTCCAAAAGCCAAACTTATTGCCACTACATTGTCAGTCATAACTGCACCACATCCGAAGAAATTGAGAAGTAACGTTCCCAAGAATTCGGCAAATAATGCTCGATATAATCCACTCTTCTTGTCCGTAAGCTCATGAGCTCCGAGAGCATTCCTCAAACTTGCCATCTAAACAAGAAAAAAGAATTTCATTATTAAAATAATATATCACGTATAGATATAAAATCAAATTACGTTTTACAATTATAATTTCCCTTCTATTTCAATTATATTCTTTTCTTGTTGCCTCGCAGTCAAATTTGACAGTAATCAAAATAATTGCCATGTGACAGCATTGAAATTGTCTCATTTCATCTTTTGTTATTTTTAAAAATCAATGTCAAGTTTTTTTTAAACTAAAAATACCCCCATTTTAGTAAAATTTAACAAAAACCAAATAAAACTTGATCGAAATGTATACAAATCAGATCATTTTTCCCTTCAGGTGAAAAGAAAATTAACACGTAAAAAATCGTTATGTAAATAAAACAATTTTCTCTCGAGTGAAAGATTTAGTTTGGAGAAAAGAAGATATTACAAGATGTAATAGTGGATCTGACATAAATATTAATTTAGCCACCCACTTAAAAAGGAGACAACGAACCAACGCTGCTGCCGTTTAGCAGTTCCGTCGATTTGCGTCATGAATTTAGATCGAGGACGCGTTTAGAAACGTTATGAGTTTTGCCCCGCAGAAACAAAACAGACTCCCGACAGGTTGACATTATTATTATTATTACTACTACGTGTGTGTGATGATGATTGTCTGTCACACATGGCAGATTATCTAGAGTCCTGTCCAAGGTCAAGACAGATAAAATTACTATATTATAGAATTCTTTTTTTTCATTGTATTTTAAAATCAGAAACCTCAGAAACTTAGATCCGGAACTGGAATGTCAATTACAAAGATATGTTATTTATTATTCGATATTGTTTTTCTATAACACAATCTTCAAATAGGAAACAATATCAATCACAATTTAATTTCCTTGTCTCTTCGACCTTTTTTTTATTAATTTTTATATTATATCGATGAAACAGTTTTTTAGAACCTATAAATAGTATATTTCGACTTTAAAAAACACTTTCTGACAGTTTTTAATGGTAAAAAATGGTACTATAAATGGCTAAGCTAAACTAGCGCCATCTTTACACTTTGGCGCATGCGCAGTATTGTATATGTTTTGAGCGACTGTGTCTCGTACTTGAAGTTCTTACATTATTTTTGTTGTTTTCAGTACTAAATTAATAGAATTAATGTTACTTTGAACAAATTTATGTTCTAAATGTATCACTAGTGCTGAAAATACTGATAGATATGGTCGAAATCTCATTAGACGAAGTATTTCTCTAAAAGTTCGATTCTTAGCGAACCTAACCTCACTTTCCTTGTCGCGCAGTTATTTTATTGTTGCCACGAGAAAAATTTGTTGTCACCAGTACACAAAAGGTAAGATTACTTTTCTTTCGAGTACAAAGAATATTTGGATCTCTAAATGTTCTAAATATTCGATTTGTAAAAAAAAATAGTAGAAAAAGTAGAGAATACTAAAAATTGCTACGCGCGCGCCATCTCTGAGGTGAAAATTGAAGGTTGTTGTACTTTTCGTCTGCTCAGCTTTGCATTACATAGTTTTGCTTGTATTTTGCTCATCAACGATCTTACGTTGTTTAGAACGTTTAGTTTTCTGAATTCTCCGAGTTAAATATTTTATTTTCGACAAATTTGTGTTAAAAATGTGCCAGTAGTGCTTGGGATTACTCGAAATTATTATCGGTCGAAGTGTTTATCTAAAAGTTCAATTCTTAGCGTCAAGTCATGAACCTAACCTCACTTTTCTTTCACTTGATGATTGTTGACAAAAAAAAACTTTTTCGGCTCCACAAAAGTGGAATTAGTTTTCTTTCCATGATAAATAAACGGATAAATACGTTAATGTACAGTAATAAGAATTTAATTACTCAAATAATTTCGCTAACTTGTAATAAATTTTTACTCTCATCAATTTTCGAAAATTTTCACACTTTTTTGTCTTCTTTTCAGAAAATAAAAGGAAAGGACTAACAAAAGGACGATGTATCTGGAGAATTACCTAAAAGTCGGCGCGAAGCTGATTATAAAACATCTAAACGTGAGTTATTGTAACAATTATTAATTATTATTATAATTGACGAAACTATTTTTAGTTGTCAACTTTACATTTTTCACTTGAAACAAAACAAAATGAAACATTTTTTTAAACATGTTTTGAAACATTTTTTGGAAAAATAAAATTGAAAGAAATTATAAAATGAATAGAAGGCAGAAAAAATAGGCAAAAAATAAAATTAGAATGAAATTTTGTTCAGTATTTATTTAGTGTTTCTAAGTAACACAAAATGTTTATCGTCGATAATAAGGCAATTGGCATGGAGCCAATGTTTCCATTTGGGATATATTAGAGGAAATCTTGATTATTTTGATAATCAGTCTCGCTTGTCTCGGTCACTAATTAATGTCACCCACGCATTGAGTTTTTCATCATTTCATTTTACAATTAGCACGACTGGCGGGATGCAACTCGAATATACATTTATACACAATTATAAACATAGAATCATGCGCGAATGTGGGTCGACGGGTTTATCGAGACGGGCGTTCTTATCTTCCTCTTGAAACCTCTTCCTGAAGATTTATACTTAAAATGTATATACGTGTATATATCGCAGAAACATTCTCTCCTGCATCACTTGAGATAAAATCTAATATGCAAATCGCGAATCAAAACGGTGAAAATTACTATATGATTTATCGTAACTGTATCAAATTATAAATGTAAACAGACTTTTCAACAAATTAGGTGCGTGTCGAAAGGATCAATTTGTTTCGCAAACTGTAAACACTGTTAAGGATAAAAAAATTACTTTCGTGACTTATTTCTCTTTTTCTTTGCGCAGGCTTCGTACTTATCTACTAAAACCTACCATTTAATACTTTTTTACAATTTGCTACTATTTTGATACTTTTTTTACATTTGTGACACTAAAAGCTACTTTTCTTTGTTGAAAATTTGCACTGCTTTTAAATCCGCTAATAATTGAAATGAAAAAATTATTCTCATAAATTTTAATAAAATTCTTCTTAGAAACAATTAAACAAATTTTTATAAAATTTTTTGAAACAATTATAAATTTAAACTTGAAGATTTTTCATTGAAATTTTTGAGAATTCAATTATTTTCAAAAATTCTAAGATAATAATTTTCCCAAGAATTCAATTATTTTCACAAATAGATAATAGAAATTTTTCGCTGAAATTCAATTATTTTCAATATCTACTATTTTAATATTTCTCAAAAGAATTCAATTATTTAAAAAAAATTTAATAAAATTCTTTGAAGAATTCAATTAATATCATTAATAATAAAATTTTCGAAGGAATTAAATTATTTAAAATATCAATTTCCAAGAAAATTTCTCGTAGGAAATCAATTATTTATATTTTTTGGATAAAATTCTTTGAAAGAAATGAACTAATTTCAAACATTTTGATAAAAATTTGTTTATAAAGATTAAATTGTATTTATCAGAAATAATAAAATTCATTCCAAGAATTCAATTGTTTCTACAAATAATTACATTTTTCGAGAAATTCATTTCAAAATTGAAGATAATTGAATACTTGAGAAGAATTTTAACCAAATTATTAAAAATAATTGAATACTTGAGAAGAATTTTAACCAAATTATTAAAAATAATTGAATACTTGAGAAGAATTTTAATCAAATTATTAAAAATAATTGAGTTATTCTTATAAATGTTATATAATTGATTTAAAAAAATTCAATTATTTCAAAAAATGTTAATAAAATTCTTCTCAAGAATTCAATTATTTTCATAAATAATTAAATTTTTTCACAGGATTTCAATTATTTTTAATACAATTTTCAGGAAAATTTTTCGAAAAAAAATCAATTATTTAAAATATTTTAATAAAATTCTTTGAAAGAAATAAATTATTTTCTAAAATTTTAATAATTTTTGTTTATAAGAATTAAATTACTTTGATAAATAATAAAATTCATGTCAAGAATTCCATTATTTTTACTACAATTTGAATTAAAATATTCGAAATAATAATTGAATTATTCTCTCAAATTTTTATAAAATTATTTTAAAAAGTCAATTATTTAAAAAAAAAGTAATAAAATTCGACTACTAGAGAATTCAATTATTTTCATAAATAATAAAATTTTTCACAAGAATTCAATTATTAAAAAAAAATAACATTCGTCTGCAACAATTCAATTATTTTAATAAATAATAAAATTTTTCACACGATTTTAATTATTTTTAATACAATTTTAAATGAATTTCTCGAAAAATGTGGCAATTATTTTCAAAAGTTTTATTAAAATTCTTCGAAAGAATTCAATTATTTTCAAAAACTTTGATAAAATTCTTTATAAGTATTCAATTTTAAGAAATATTCAATTATTCATCAATTATTTGTTTTTGTATTTAAATAATTGAATTCTTGCAGAACTTTCTTATAAGAATAAATTGATTTAAAAATGAATTTTAGTTAAAATTTTAGATAATTGAACATTAAATGATAGTACATGAATTTTTAGAAATAGTTAAATTGCAAAAAGCTTTTGTATTAAAATTGTTTAAAATATTAATTTCTGTGGAAAAAGTAAACAAGTATAATTATTTATTGAACAAAAATTATTCAAGTGTGAATAATTTAATTTAGAAATTAGGAAAAAAATTAGTATTTTAAAAAATTTTTAGGTAATTTTTTAATCGTCAAATTTAATTTTTCGATAACTATATTACTACTATTCTAATTTTATCGATGGTAGAAAATTCTTTTTATGTCTATTTTCTGAAATTGTTGTGACACACATTACTTATGAATTTTTCGGAAACTATATGAAAAGTTGTGAAATTGAATTTGAATTTAATATTTCCGGAAGATTTTTTTTTTAAAATAGCGATGATGCTTAGAATGAAATGACTTCTCATCGAGTGAAAAATTCTTGAGACGATTTGTCAATACCGAATAATATTAGGAAAAAGAATATCGAGCCACATATACATTTCAAGTTTATAGTAGAAATAAGCGTGGGGTTGTGCTGAGATGATCATTTCTTGAGATGATGTCACACGCAATTCAAGTTTCCGTGCTTCCTTTGCGTGCGAAGCAAACGCAATTAACTTTTAAAGACTTTCTGTCATTTGTGTATTTTTTTTTTATTATTTTACACACAATTTCATAATTTTTTATTCGTAATTTATGCAATTTGTAGGTACTTTATTTGTATATAGAATTTATATACTTTATATTTATAAATTTATGTATTTATAAAATGTGACGTATATTTCTAAGAAAGGGACCTAAGAAGTAAATCATTTTAAGGTATTCTGTTACTATCAAATTAGTTATTTTTAATAAATTCGAAATCTAGAGAGTTAAAAATAAATAATTAAAAACAAATTCTACATTTAGAAACTTTATTAATCCCTTAACTGCCATGGCAAAGATTTGTCGGACAAATTCTTTGCCATGGCAGTCAAGGGGTTAAGTTAACATTTTAATTAATATTTAATTAAGATTTTTGTAATTAACTTTTTGTATGATAGTAGCGTAAAATTGCGATTAAAATTTAATTTTGAAAAAAAACATAATTTAGTATCATTATTTATACATAGTTGGAAATTTATTCTTCGGAACAGAAATTGATGAAGCGTTTCTTACACACTTGTCGTTTAGTTGGTATAGTATAGCACTTAGCAGAAAGATTTTTGCATTGTTTTGGATGTCTATTCTGGTTGACACATTAATGTGTCACTTTGTGTATTTTCAGCCCACGAGTCTTGTTATATATTTTAACCAGAATTTGTACCAAAAGTTGGCAAAATTTATACTTATGCTTGACAAATTTTTCTATTATTTATCTAATTCACTGAAAATTCTATTTGTCTTGTAAATTTTCCACAATGTTTGTCTTAGGATTCTCGGATGCATTCAAATTATGCTATTTAGAATTTTTTATAGTAGATATAATTTTATTTCTTCTTATGGCGCGAAAATTGATCAATAAATTAGCCTTTCGTAAAATAATGCCGACTTTTACAATGTCCGTGAAGATTTACGATCCGGTATCTTTACTCGTTATTAACAATATATATTACGTAATTATTCTATTTGAGAATAGGAAAAAAATTTTGCTTTTTGTTTCGATTTCGTTCTTTCTTCTTCTTCTTATTTTTATTGCGGATCGAGAAGAGGATTATTTGTTTAATTTGTGTCAATTGCTTCTCAACGTTTTGCTACATTTTTTGTCTCAATTTGATATTCGCAGAAATACTTTGTTTAGTGAGACAAATATTTATTTAGTTGTTATTTAGTTGATAAATATTTAGTTGTTATTTAGTCGATAAACATTTAGTTGTTATTGAGTACAAACGAAAGATTGCGGACAAAATTTTTGCTCCTTAGTTTGAAAAATATCTTGATTAAAACTTGAGAGTTTAACACCATGTCAGAGCACATGATCATTAGCCATAATAGGAAAAATGAAAAGACACACTGAATTCTCTCCCATCAATCACGTTCTTTTTCCTTTCCTCTAAACTCTCTTAATATGGGATTCCAATTGGCTTCGGGGTCGCGAATGGCCGGTTGGACCAGTAATCGAATCGTTCCACTTTTCCAGGGAACGAAAATAATAGCACTTGGATGTTTCTGATGTCTTATTATGGTTGTCGTTGGTCGAGTGAATACACTTCTAAATATTCAATGCGCGCGGTCATGTTTTCGCAATTTTAACCTGGCGCGGAGTGTAAATTCACTACTGGGGTTTATACCACTATCAGTCACAGATATATGAATAGTACTTACATTTATACGCGTGCGTGTGGTTATAAAGTAGCTAGTTTTGTAAACGGTTCTCAAGAGCAAGACCGCAAATGGTTAACCGGTTGTATGTCTGAGCTACTTTTTTTTTTTTTTTTTTTTTTTTGAGTAAACTCCTTCAATGAATTTTATATTGAATGCCTGCTGAGATAACACGTCGTGTTACGGTGCTTTTGCACATGCAATCATTTACCAAAAAGAGAGTAAAACGAATATTTTATTTTCAGATAGGGACTAAAGTTACATATTATGGAACTATGTTGATCGTGATTTAAATTCGAAATTGTCATGGAAATGAATATTGAATTAGAAATATGACTGTAGAAGAAAAATGAAATAATGAAAATATGACAGTTTTATGTCGAATTCCACTTTAGAACCAAATCGTAAATTTCAAGGGTGTCTACTAACCAGGAAATTAGGGAAAACTGTAAAATAGTCGTGAATTTTTTCACCAAATTAAAAAAAATTTTATTATTTAAATTTGTTTTTAAAAAATCGCTTTTTTATTGATATTTATAAAATTTATAAATTTTTTTTAGATATTTATAATGTTCTCTAAATTTTAATTAGTTAAAAATAATTAATTTATATACTGATTTACTTATATATTTAGTTTATTCGTTTGGATTTATTTAGTTTATTTATTTATTGTACTATTTGATTACTCAATTTTAATTCCAATCGAAGAAATACCTCAGAATGTAAAACAAAGAATTTTCGAAAGTTTTTTCTTAAAATCGCATTTTTATGATGTAATTTGAACTAAAAATTTTATGATCTTTTCGTAAAGTTAAATTGCAGATCGTGTCACTTTTTTACATATATTCTTTTTCTTACATAATATAAAGATAAAATTTTTAAATACTGAGGATTACTATTTGATACAGTATATATTGTAAGAAGTCCCTGACAATTCCTGTTTCGTTACGGTTTTGTTACTCAGCAAAAAACAGAAGAGAGATTCATTTCCTTTATTGTTTCTGAGCTATTAAGAAATTCGAAAAAATATCCACAATTCTCACATTGTTTATTATTATTTTAAGTAATTAAAAAAAAATGTTTTTAAATAATTTTGTAATGGTAATAATTGATACAAAAAATAAGAATAGCGTTAAGAAGAACATTTTCAAAAAGTAGAAATTTTGCATTAAAAATAGTTTAGTTTTGAAGTAAGAACTTCTGTTTTTGATAAATTCTGGAAAATTTATAAAATTTATAAATTTTATAAATTCTTTTTTCTATGAGAGAAATAATTATATATTTGTTGAAAAATAGAAGTGATGAAAGATTCATATCATTCTTTTGTTTTATTCAACATTATATGGAATATGTAACAAATTCCCATTCGCAACTGTGCAAACAGGGCATTTCAGGAATAGAAAAAAATTCTTGTTTACTTGTGAGGAAAATTTATAATTTTACAATAAATAATGGCTGTCATTTTGAAAATATTTTAAGCATTACACGTTTTCAAGAAACATTGAAAATGTTCAAAACTGTTTTTATTTATTTATTTATTTAGTATTACATAAATTTTAAATATTTGAAAATTTTAATATTCAAGAAAATTAACTATTTATTAACAATTCTTATGAATTATAAGTTAATACTAGAAATTAATAAAATCATCTATATTAATAGAAATTAATTGAAACGAATAAATTAATAGTTTTAATTATTTTAAAGTTGAATTTAATTTTTTTTTTTGTAAATTAATTGAGTTCAATAATAAGAAATTAATGAAAAAAAATTTGTTAGATAATTTTTAAAAAATTAAATTCTTTTTGCATTTATTCGTTCTGAAAAGATACTGAAGGTGCGAATTGTCGTTTATAACATTTCTTTACGACATACAAGTCAAAGACAAATATTGACAGTGCCTTTATTTTCAAAGACTAAAAAGTGCCATACGTACCAATTAACTGAATTATGTCTTTACCGCAATTAAAATTGTTGAGTGCAACTTTTTAGATTTTCCGAAAAAATTTATAATTTTTCAATTATTTAAACTTGAGAAAATTATTCTACATTATAGAAAATGAAATAGGTTCTTTTTCATTTTTCTGAATGTTAGGGTTTATAAAGAATGATTTTGATTAATTAACTAATTGACATTATACAATAATAATTGTGAGTTTGGTATTAGTGGAATTTAATAACTTTAATATATATAAGAAAAAGTCCAATTAGTGTAAAAGAAAGGGTGCAGTCGTGATATATCTTCTAATGTAGAGTATAATCCATATTTCTATAATGACTCTACCTATCAATTTTTTAAAATCAATTTATAATGAATTAAAAAATGTTAATTTCTTTAATTTACTTTTAGAATTTTTTTTGGTTTTTTCTTAGAGGAAGTATTTTTATTTGCTCTTAATTAGGTTTCAATTTTTAATTAAAACTTTTTTGATTTAAAAATGTTGTTCTTTACGCTATTCTTTTTTGTAACAAAAATTTATTTTTTTTCTATTTTTTTCAACTAAGTTTTAGTTTTAATTCGAAATATTTTGTAACTAGGTTTTCATTTTTAATTAGAACTATTTTTTAAACTAGATTCTAATTTTTATACCTATTTGCTTTCATTTTTTAACTTACTTTTGAATAAATAAATAATAATTGTTAATAAATAATAAATAAATACAATCCGTTCAAAGCTGAAAGGCATGAATTATACATAATAAATAAATAATACATAATAAATAATAAATAAATAAATAAAAATAAATGCAATAAAATTATTACATTTACTTGTATTTACATTCAGTTTCAATGCGAATTAAGCAATCATTTCTTTATTAACTTGTTTGCATCAATTTTATCTTTTAATAGAGACGAGTTTTTTGAAATTATTTTTATGTAATAATTTAGTGGTAATTTGTTTGCTAAGACATAAAGTATTTAATGTTGGGACAATTGCATGTTTTTTATAGCAAAAAAAAAAAAAAAAAAAATTGAAAAAATGGCTAAACCAATACAATAAATTTCCATAAATGATTACACACGCACCATACGCAGACAAATAGAAATTAAAAGAGAAAAAAACTATTCGTACACATGTGAATCATTATTAAATAGTTTGAGGTTTAATTAATCTTGACCTTGAGTACAGAAGAGAAACATGACCTTGCAAAATTGAGTTCAATAGTGCCAATTACGATGTGCCAACATGTTCATATTTTTTTTACCATGATTGGTGTACTTGTTAATTAATCTTTATAATAGAATCTCAATACAGGATTAATTACTTCATTACATTTTTTTCCTGGTGGTTCTTTCGTGAAACCAAAAAATTTTCGATCACTAGTTGTACCTCGAGTTGTACTAAGTAACAAAATTTATTTGTTGCAAATAAACTATTAGTTATTTTCTTACTTCTTTTTTCTTTAAACAAAAATCGGTTATTGCAGACAAATAAATTTTCTTTTTAGTACAATAATGATGAAAATAAAAAATGATAATGATAAAATAACAGCGATACAATAATAAATTGTTTTTAATAAAAAGAACTCATTTAAGTTTATAAAATAGATAATTTATAATACCATTTTTAAATGCAACACATTTACTGCGTATTTTTTAAAAATTTAACCGACGATTCTTTTCTTATCAAATATAATCACATGTTGTTGCACCGTCCTTAAAAAATTATCCTTGGTTGTAAAGTGAATAATAATAATAATTCTCTTATCATTGTTAATATTGGGAAGTTTATCATAATTGTAAATTCCTCCGTTTTTCATGAAAAAAAAAAATATTTTGTTTGGAACTTTTTATTTCTAAACTTAGACCATAGTAAAATTCGCCTTTAAAACACGTGTTTTCAAAATAAGATTTTCAATTTTGAATTAAAAGAATGTTGGCCTTCAAAGAATTAAAAATGGAACAAAATACGGTGGTTTTGTTTTAATTTCTTAGTCAAGATTTAGAAAAAGAAAATAAAAAATGCAAAATTAGGAGTCTTTGGAGGATAGTATAATAATATTTATTAATTATTATGATTATAATTATTTATTTGTTTATTATAATTATAATTATTTATTTGTGTATTATAATTATTATTATTATAATTATTTATTTGTTTATTATAATTATTATGATTTGATTCGAAGAAAGAAATAATTTTCTTTAATTTCTCGCGAGAAGTTTATAAAAACAAAGAGAGCTGTAGGTACTCTGCCCTTCTTCGTAATAATTCTAGAGGTACATTCACCTCACAACAAGGGGGAACAAAAAATGGTACTTACTCTTGAAGATCTGAGAAATTCGCAGAAGGATTTCTTGTCTCCTGTCTTAAAAACAATTGGATAATATGCACACTTGCACGAAACGAACGAAAAAAATGGTTTTCTTTTTTTAAATCTTGTCTGTATTTAAAATTTATCAAAAACAAACTAATCACCTTAAAAAAAATGGGGGTGAAACTGTATGGAAGTTGGTGAATTAAACGAAAGAGGCGAGAAGCCTCAACGTCGACGATTCTGAACGACAACTGGGTTTTACTATAGAGCTTGCCAATCTCATATAGGTATCTGGCAGGCAGCGTCTGTTCTGGAACTGAGGACTGAAGTAGCTTTACTTCTAGTAACGGGAGAAGGGATATATCTTCAGCACCAGAAACTAAGACTCAACAAATGTATAACAACAACAACATCGCACAAGAAAGTCCAGGTGCTTGCACACGAACCTTATTATCCCCCTGTAAGATCTTTCTGTCGGATGAATAACGACAAAGAATCGTGCGGACATGGAGGGAAGCTGGGATTAGATCGCGAATGAAAATCTCCCTCGTGAAATTCTATTATAGAGATCGGTTTCGGTTTATTCGATTCATAAAAAAATATTCGTTGCATTGTTTAGGCGAGAGAATAACTTTGCTTTTACTATGACGGTGCAACATAGCAAACATTTTTTTAAAATCTTTCCTAGAAACTTTCTTTACTGTTTTCTCGAA